TGACTGGAGTTCAGACGTGTGCTCTTCCGATCTTTTCATTTGGACCTATGTAATTCCATAAAAAATAAATAGGATCCTTTTCTAAAGTATCGATCTGAAAAGTAGAGATTTCAAGCTGTAAAATGCTTTTTTGAACATCTCGATACGATCATTTTTGACGAAGTTACATTCTCTTGAATTTTGCCTATTTTTGAAGGGTAGAGTAAGTGATGCTTTAATTTTGTTGAGAAGTGTATATATGTAATTTTACTGTGCACTACAATAAATTTTACAGTAGTAAAATACAGTAAAATTTGTCTAAATACTATATTGTCCCACAATTAACATGATTTGCAGGGTAAATTAAAAAAAAAATTCTCTCCGTGTATACAGAATAAAGATCTCGTAATTTATTGAATTTAAAATTGTCTTGATTGTCGTTACATTTCAAATTACATAATGCACAAAACTAAATATCAACAGGCAATATTTATTTTGCATTATACACAATACATATATTGCATTGATCATTACACATTATTTAATTACTACAGTATTATTTGAAAAATTATTTAAATTATAACTAGAATTATATGAATTTAAGAGATTTATATCTATTATACACACATATATATATATATATTTTTTTATTCAATGTAATATTGTAAAATACCTTGCCAAGAAGTCACCAACTTTGCGAGTGTTGCGCACTGCAAAAGGATACTCTAACATATTTAAGGGGAATATAAGGTCGTGAGAGCACGACGCATTAGTCCAATCTAACGAAAATACTGCATCGTAACCTCTCTGTGAAATATTGAGTTGTTTTTATTTATTTCCTTTATTATGAATATTTTTATATTACTTGTACGATATAAGATTTCGAAATTACGCAAAGAAATTCTGCGTATTAATTTTATTCTTATAAGTATAAGAAATATTTACCTTTAACAATAAGGAGGCTAATTTAGAAAAATTAATACCAGAATAAATATTGGTTGCATTTAAAAGAAAGCCATGAGCCATAAAAAAAACTGGTTTCGAGGAATCAAAGAGATCGCAGGATTCGTTTACTTGGACAAATTTGCCTTTAGGAATATCACTGTGAAAAATGCGAACGTAAGCAGTAAGAAAAATAAATTTGCAGTGAAAGCTCATACGTATGTGTTTTACCTTGTGTACAAAATCATCGGAACCGATTTGACACCGAAGATACAACTTGATGGATTTACTGTAAAGTTGTCTATCATGGTATATTGTTAAAAACGCATAATTCGCATTACATAAATGTATATATCGTGTAAGAAAAATTGATAATATTATAATAAAGTACAATGGTCCAAAACAAGTTATGTGAAAAAAATTATAGATGATCTATAATATTCAGGAGAATTTGACAAGAAAATACCACAATATGCAATCATTTTGCTAAATGTTCTATACAAAAATTGATATACTGACAAATGTAAATTATTTGAATTGACAAACGTACAGATGTGAAATTATATCTCATAATAACATGATTGTAATAAATTAATATAATTGTGTGTCATTACGTATTAATTTATTTTTATTTCTTGTAATATCTGACAATAAAAAGCAAGATAAAATAAGTGTAACGTTGACAAATATTTTTTGCATCTATTTTTGATATTACGGTATGTCAAATTATTTTTATTGTCTAAAATTAAAAAGAAGATAATTAGAATTTTAAAACTCCGAGAAATTCTGAACTTTCTTTGTCTTTAGAAAGTTTTCTATTTTAGAAAGCAGAAAATGTTA